TTTGCCCGTGAAGTTGGCGGCACTTCACCTGCGTTTTGAGGCAAAAACAAGCAAACAAACCGAAAAACCCCTTTCTCTTCAGGCGGAGGCTCCTCTGCAGCTGGGGGCCCCGCCGAGGAGCCTGCGTTTTATTGCTTTGTGCTGCGCGCAGAAAGGCGAGGCGCTGGGGAGGCCGGCCAAAGGTGCCGAGCAACCTTCGCTTTTGACGTTGGATTAAAGAAGAAGCCAGAGCTGCTTCAGGGGCTGCGCGCGCGGAGGGTGTCTGCAGTGGAGAGGGAAGGATGCGTGCCTGGCACGTGGGGGTGAGGGCCCCACACAGCTCTGTCCAGCAGGTCAGAGCTTAACGCCATGTGGCCGAGCAGGCAGCTATGAAAGGACGGTTGTGAATATACTTTCCTACCGCTAACTTCCTAAAAAAAGGCTGCTTTTGTATACAATATTGCATGCTTGGCCAGGTGTCTTCCGGGAAACAGTTGAAGCAAATCCAAGCTGACGTTGGCTTCAACCTTAACTTCAACCATAAAATGGTGCTGAACTTTTATTTTGAAGCCTTTGTTGAACCTCACCCAGAACGAACCCCAAAAATATTTGTTCCGGGTACCTGTCCAGGAAACTAATGACTCCTGTGAGGAACCTCTTTGGAAGAGGGCTTATTGCTCGTGCTTCCTAGGATCTGCAGAGCACCCTCCCCATCTCTCAGCACACGACGCGTGCGTTTGCACTGTGATGCCGTGCTGCTCAACTCCGCAAGTCCTAGCAGGACTCAACCCAGTGCACAGGCTTTCGCAACTGCCCAGAGACCCGCTCTAGCTGGCTTGGATTCCTGCTCCCCCATCACGGAGAGCCGGGTGTTACTGCTGCCAACAAGCCCCATTAGCCTAAGCTTTCCCCAGCACTCCTGTTAACTGTACATGAATACAGGGACACATACCTTGTGCCTTTCTTTTATCTCTGGGCATGCAGATGTAAGTAAGTTGACTGTTGGGCACCACACAGGTCATATTTACGGAGCTGAGAGAACCGCTGGCACTGAGTGGGTGCTTGAGCTCTTGCAGAGGAACAGGGGGTCAGCGCTAACACTTCTCCCAGGCTGATTTCCAACACTTTGCTCATAACCCCATGAAGTTTTACATTCCCATTTTTAAATACCATGTTCTCAAACATCAGCTGGTCAGGGGAAACAATTATAGTGTAACTGGCCTGAACAGGAGCAAATCCAATCTCAACTGAACGCATATCTGTTCCAAACAAAAATAATATACTGGTTTGATTCTGTGGTTGAAACTTCTGCTAAAATATCCAGTGTGCTAGCTGTTGCTATCAGACACAGAATACCAGACCTAAGAGATCACTGGTCTGATCTAGTTTAGAATTTACTTAATTTGTATGTGCACTGCTTTAGGACATTAAAGCACAAACCAAAATATTTATGAACCATACTGATTCTTAACCTAAAGTTTTCTTTGGACTGTAAACACAATTTCAGATGCAAATATGCAGCACCCCCCACTCTTGTAAAAAGTCTCTTTAAATTCAGCTTAAAGGAGTATATGTCACACTTACTGCAGAAATACGGTAATATTATTTATTTTTACATATTTTACGTATACAGTTATGACATTTGGCTAGAAAAATGTCTGTATGGTAGTAAGAGATATTCCAACAACTACAAATCTGTCAATAAATACATTAAAAACATACTGTGCTGATGTAGGAATACCGTATGCTCTTTCAGTTACTTACCCAGTACGGTATCATTGAAAAGTTTTTTGGTGTTTTTCATGCAACATCTAACTTCTTCCCTAATATTCATGCTATTCAACATTTTTTCTTTATTACGAATGGGATGTTATTTAAAATCCAGCTTACAGTAGTAAAAAACTCTGAAAAACTAAACATAAAACTCTCAACTGTTTTAATAAAATGAACCAATTTAAATAAAGTTGTCTTTAAAAAATTAATTTTCTTAACTAATTCTTTATAAAACAGGCAGTATTTCAAAAGGGATGTCTCCATCACCCGGAATGAGTCATTGTGCTTCAAAATTTTAAAAGGAATATTCACGGCAAAAAACTAAAACGAGCTGGTAAGTAGAGGAAGAGCGATTGCAGTATGAATTGGTTAAAATTAAATATGCTTTCAAAATCTCTCCAAGAACACACCAAACACTTAGCAACATCACAGTGCCATCACCTATTCTAACACTTAGAAATGGAGTTTTAATAATACTTAGCTCCTGTCATGCTCAAAATTCTCCACAAACATTTAAATACTCCTAACACTTCTGCATTTGGGGTGGTGGAGGCAGAGGGTTACTAATTTGCTGAAATACAGACTGCGCTGTTTCCCTCTTGCCTCACTTCTCCAAGTTCCTTATCACTTTATTTTACACTTAAGGTATTAAAGAGTTCTAGGAAACACGGGTAGTACATTTCCATCTGTATTAGTGGTTATTATGCAAGTTGTGCCACTTTGAAAGTTACATGGCAAATATTAAAGTAATAATCAACATGAAGCCCACATCAACGACTTGTAATTTATGTCCTAGAATGCCACACCATTTAACAACAAGCTTATTCTTTATGTAACAAAGTATTATGGACATAAGGCCTACTTCTCTCAATTGCACAGACTCAATGACTGTTAAAGTCAATAAGGACTGCACAAGAGAATAAAATTTGGCCCTCATCATCTGTCCCTGGGAACACAGAAAACCCCTACAGTGGTCCAGCACACACTGACATTCTACAGCAAAAAGGACATAAGTACCATATAAATTGAAACAGTGTTGAGATGTGCCAACCCACCAGAATGTATGCATAACTTAGGCTTCTTTCCCCCCACCCCAATTTTGAAAATATTTGTGTCTGAATTATGTCTTAGAAACCATATGGGAAAGCAAATGCCTAGTAATGAGATTTCAGATATAAAATAGTGTGTTTTGCCCTCATCTTAGTATCAATTCCCAAATCTCATTATTTCAGTTGATACCAACGTTCTGCACAGAAAGTCTGGACATTTTAGATTTTGCCACATTTGCTGCCTTCTTGAATTTTCTACCTTATTCCTTGCGTTCTGTGCCCCATTTTGATTTCTAGCCTGCCTAGTATACTCTTACTGCAAAACCAGATTAATTTTTTGCTGTCTTTTGAAAAGTCCCAGGTTTGCTCTGCCACTGGTCTGCAGGAGCAATGGATTACGTTTAGATGTTTCAATATCTGATCTATAAGAGAAGACAGAGACAGAATTCTGTCACTTGCAGCAACAAAATGACTGAGTGTGCAAAATTAAATCCCTCTTACAGGCACCCATAAGGCTTTTGAAAGGCACGTATATTCTTTGTTACTTGTTCCTCAGTGCCTAATCTTGGCATTTTTATTCTGTCCCCAGTAAACCACATACAGTGTACATACTCCCTTGCAGTGTGGAAGGAGCTTGGAATAAGAGCTGCAGAAGCGCTTCACAGTTATCAGTAGTTACTCAGTAGCTATTTCTCCTTTTAACAAATACTAGATCTTCACTACCAGGGAGAACTGGGTTCATATAGCAACCTCATCTCCTAAACCATTTTCTCCCTCCACCCCCACGCATCCAAATTTCTAGCAGAGAGGAACAGTGCATGTAATGTGGGACTTTCCACAAGCAGATATCCAAAGCTCTTACTGCCTTCTGCAGAGCTGGTAGGCCAGAAAACCTTTCTTTTGCACAGGTGCTGGAGCAAAAATACTGGAGCTTTGTCCCATTTCTTCCAGCAGAGCAGCCAAGAGCTGAGAGGCTGGCTGAGTACCCTGCTTCTGGCCATATCCTGAGAGGTGATAAGCACATGCAGCTTCTTTTCATTTCAGATGGGAGGGACTGTGGATATTTATCATGGATTGGACTCAGTCCCAAGGCACCAGGCAGGAAAAGAAAGGACATTAACAAAGCTATTGTGAGCCAGGGGTACTCAATACAGCTGAAATGTCAGGTTAGAAAAGCAAGAGGCATTGGCATCTTCCTCTGGACTTTCAGGAAAAGAAAAAAAGGGAATGCAAGATCCTTGGCTAAGGTTTTCCTTGCCTGGCTGAAGCCATTCTACCTGCTTCAAAAACTCAGGCAATTGAGGGATCGTGATACATTAATTCACACGTCCTAATGCTGAAATGTTTCCATTTCAGAAAAGTGAAATGCACTTGCACACTATGATGATGGGCATGCTATCGGTTCTGTGTAAATAACGGGAACCCACAGGCCTGCTTGGGCTCCAAAGGGCTTACTGGAGGAGATTCATCTCAAAATGCCAGTTTTCTGATGTGAGCCAAACATTCACCGCCAACAAGTACTGAGCCGAGTCAAAACACTGGTTTGAATGCACGTTCACAACATCAAACTGGACTTATAGCTGCCTTAAAACCGCAGTCTTGAAAAAGTTAAAAAAAGAAAGGCTGATGCTTTGGCAATTCATTAGCTGTCACACAGTCCAAAAGCCTCAAAAATATTATCAATAGCTTGACTAGTGGCAATTCACTATTGCATGGCTGGTGGCCACCAAGAAAGCACTTCTTAATAGTTAAAGCAGTCATGTTATCAAGTATTTTTTCACAACTCCTCCAGATCAGTTAAATCCACAACTACTTTCAAGAACAGAGTGTCGTCCTTGATGTAGG